GTCTTGAACGTGGTCTTGTAGCGATCCTCCTTGCGAATCTCGAGTTGGTGGTACCCTGACTTGAGATCCAGCATAGAGAAGAACTGGGCGCCGCCCAATCGCTCGAGAAGGTCGTCGATGCGTGGGAGAGGGCCGGCGTTCCTGATCGTCTGCGCGTTGAGCTTGCGATAATCGATGCACAACCGCAGGTCCTTGTTCTTCTTCCGGACGAAGAGAACAGCAGCACCGTATGGCGATGAGCTAGGCCGAATCCAGCCTTTCTCTAGAAGGTCGTCGAGTTATGCCCGAAGCACACTTAACTCTTCCTCGCTCATTCGGTAGATGCAACCGCGCGGAGGTACGGCCCCGTCCTCGAGGATGATCTCGTGGCGGATGGGTCGATCCAGTACTACTCCATGCGGGCCTTCGAACACGTCGCTGTAGGCGTCGAGAAGTTCAGTGATGCGTGGATCCGAAGGTGAGTCCGTCGATGAAGCGTCATGGGGCGGGAGGGCGTGGAGAAAACACACCCCCATCTCCTCGATGTCGTCTCTGATGATGGAAACTCGCATGCTTGCGGCGGATACCACGTGGCAGCTAATCGAAGGATGAGGAAGAGGCACCGTGCATGGAACTAGTACTCCGTTCCGATCACGAATGTGAACGGTGCGGTGGAAGAAGTTCACCGGGTGATCCTCGCTTCGCAGCCATGACATGCCCAAGATCATGTCGAATTTGGTGTCCAGAATGTCAAAGGACACCGCCTCACTTGCGTGAGGGGCAAAGTACACTGGGACGGCGTCAATGCACCGGCCGATTGACTTGTGCGTATGACCGTCTGCCAGAGTGACTTGCGTAGGCTGGGACTTCCTCCGGACACGTGGGCCAAGGCGCGTACCATGAAGTTCTGGCTCATGTAGTTGCGAGATGCTCCGCAATCGATCAAGGCACTGCAGGTCGCCTCTCCGATCTGAATGCGTATGTATAGCAATGGTGCGTCGATGTCGTCGTACCGTTGCGTCTTGAACTCACGGTCGATCTTCGCGATGTAAGCGTGAAGGTCAACAACCTCTGCTCCGGCGTCCATCAACGGAGCTGGTACTGCAGTGTGCAAGTAGTCCCGCAGTTGTGCCATGAGCACATTGCAATGCGGTTTCGGCAATCGTCCGGTTGAGGGAACGGGCATCCACTGGAAGTCCGTGAACGTCAACGGGTCGAGCTCTTCAAGTCTTGATCATGACGTCGAATCCCCGGCGAAGGATTGCGGCGAAGCTACCGAATCGGTTGCCGATGGTGATGAAACCGTGCATGAGGTGGACTGTTGCACATGGAGCGGTTGGTCCAGCGGTGGAACCAAGTAGACAGCATAATCCTCGTAAGTATACCGAGGACTTGCGACATTCGCATCCTCCCCAGATGTGCAAGAGGCCGCTAGCAAGGCGGCCGAATCTGGCGGAGTAGAAGGTGGAGTTGCCTCACCTTCCGCGGAGCTCAGTTTCCCGAGYTGAGGCGGGGTCGCACATCCTCCTTGCCCTGATCTTGGCACAGGGAGGTCTTGTGCTTGGTGTTGTTGCACCAATAGCAGCTGCCGTAGCGGCCGCGGACCTTGTACTCCGCCTCTGTCAAGCCAAACTTGACCCATGGAACTTGTACTGGCTGTCCATTTCCGGCCTGCGATGCTGATTTCGCCTTCCCATTGTTGCTGGACTTGTTGTTGCTTCGCGGCTGGACAGCAGCCACCTGATCTCTGTCACTTGATGCTGGAGTGGCTGCTGGGTTACCTCCACTGTCCGACTGGACTGCAGCGAACTGCTGCTGTCGCGGACCAGTTCGTACCTTCGCCACATAGGTTGGCTGCCACGTGGACTTCTCGTGTGCAGCCGGCCTGTTAGTCTTGATGAGCTCTCTCGCCTTGTTGATGATCTCTGCGAAAGTGTTGTACTGCTCGCGATCACCCAGTGCGAGGCTGAGAGTGGCGCATGACCTGTTGTAGAACTCACGCCACAGATGCGGAAATGACAAGTCCGAATTGGGCGTTGCCACGATTTTCTGCCAATTCGTGAGCCAGTCATGTGTTGGTGTGCTCCCTTGAGCCATCGTGAAGATGCGGTTGACGGCGAGTGCCGGGGCGTCGTCGACGATGACCTTCTTGTACAAGTCTGAAACCTGGACGCCGTGGATGGTTGCCATGTGGCTGAGCCAGATATGACATCCTCCCTTGGTGTTGATGAACAGAGCACTGATGAACAGATGGTCAGGGACTTCGTGAATCCCCAACTCCGTTGTAAATCCTTGCCACCAGACGACCGGGATTTGATGTGTGTAGTCATCAAATTTCTCGATCCGGAACGTCGGCATCTTGTATGGCCTTGCCGAGCTGATGTTGTGGTTGTGGTCGGTCTGCTGTTGCTGACTGATCTTGGAGTCCAACAACTCGAACCTCTGGCTGATGGTGGCCGGCTCTGTGAAGACACTTACGTCTCCTAGCATTGCCACTACGTGGTCAACGCGTTCCTCCAGTTGGCGGCTAGAGGATGCACTGCTGGAAGCCCCAGCAGCTGGTCCTGGTACAGTCTGTTCCAGGTCCAGTACACGGGCGTCCAGCGCCCGTGTGGCATCCTCGTGCTGAGTCTTCTGATTCCGCACGGCCCGCTGAAGGTTTGCCAGCTCGGACTGTAGGTGGTTACATGTGTAAACCAACCTGCTCACGAGCTTGGCCATGAACTCCTTATGATGCTCTTCGGTGTTGGCTCGTCGCCATTCGGTTCAAAGTGCCAGTACTTGAGTTTCTCGATGCTGTTGGCTTCATGCCGCTGCAGCAGAGCCTGGGCATCTGCGTCGGCTTCGGCCTGTAGCCGCAGCTTCTCTGCTGTTGCCACTTCATCAGCCTGTAGCTGGGCAGCCTTGACTGCCAGCTGGCGTTGTTCCTCAGCCTCGATTGCAGCGAGCTGAGCATGGACGCGCTTTTTGTAATCGGCAATGGGCTCATTGGCCAGTTGGCCTGGCAGGCCCGTCATGTTGCTGACATGGCACTGCTGACGTGGCACTGTGTCTGACGTGGCACTGCTGATGTGGCACTGCTTACGTGGCACTGTCTGACGTGGCACTGTCTGACGTGGCACTGCTGATGTGGCACTGCTTACGTGGCACTGTGTCTGACGTGGCACTGCTGATGTGGCACTGCTTACGTGGCACTGTCTGACATCACTGCTGACGTGGCACTGTGACCTGGCACTGCTGATCTGGCACTGTGACGTGGCACTGTGACGCGGCACTGCTGACGTGGCACTGCTGATCTGGCACTGTGACGTGGCGCTGCTGACGTGGCACTGTACCGAACCGGGATGCATGCAAGGGGTGGGTGGGAGGGAAAACGTAGGTAGGTAACCAACCCAACAATACTTTCCTCCGCCCTAATCAACAGATAAAATAAAAAATAAAAAATAAAAAGAGGACTACTTCCTTTTTTTTTTTTTTTGTATATATCTGTCGATTTATGATGAGTGGGATATGTCAGAAGAGTATTATGAACGAGATCTAGGCTAGGTGCCGCAAGGTTTCGGCTTTTACCAACTGCGATCTTGAATTTTTTTTTTGTGAAATGGAGTAAAGATGCGATTTTCAGAAAAGAACGAATCCAGTTTCTGAGAATATGCAACCTCCGAATATGCCTAACGCAATATTGGTAGGCTTCGCAAGATTTCGGTTTTCAAAAAAAACTTTGCAAGATAGAATGGAAATTCGATTTTCAGAAAAGAATAATTTCAGTTTCCGAGAATATGACCACTTCAATCGTTATCCCAATATGCCTAGAGAACGAAAATACTAACTTCAGAAATTTCAGCTATGTTTGCGAAATATCAGAGAAACGAAAAGCTACTACCGGAATTTTCAGACAAAACGAAATGCGATTTATCAGAAAAAACGAAATGCTACGATCAGGAATTTTCAGACAAAACGAAATGCGATTTATCAGAAATTTTCAGATATTTGTCACGTAAAAACGAACTACTAATATCAGAAATTTTCAGATAGAACGAAATTGGGAATATCAGAAATTTCAGATAGTTGTTGCGAGAATTTTTTTTTCAGAGATTTGACTAAGTCCTACTTGCGTTACTAATGAGCGATCAATAGATCGCAAACTGGCTACTTGATTGAGCGGGTCCTCTGAATGAGAGGTCCGCTCCGATACCAAACTGTTGCATACTGTAACGTGCAGACCAGAACAAGAACCGACMTTTCAATACAAAGTATAAGATAGCACAACGGAAGACTTAGATACCAGTGATCCGAACAATCAATGTTGTAATGCAGCCYTGAACATACATCATCATCATCGTTACATGGTGTGAATGGGCCTGGCGCTTCACACAGGAAGACAGCGCCCGCCCGTACCATACACAGACGAAGAGGAAGGGAATAGACGAAGAGGAGGGGGAAGATGGGAATGTCGTCAACACCAAGTCTTCGGCACAAGCCCAAATAGTCCCTCGTCGAAATGTCTAAATCCCAAATGTCAAGTCTGGATCCAATGTCATCAAGTCTCAAGTCACAACTCTGTCTCTCTCTGTCGTAGTCTGAGAAGTCAGGTGGCGAGAGGGTGAGAAGAGAAGGTGGACTTAGAAGAGGAAGAAGAAGAACTCTCTCTCTCTCTGTGTCCAGTACTAACCTGTGAAGTTGGCGCCTTGATGCAGGTACCACGAAGATGGAGCTGGAGCGATGGCACCACAGGTAAGTAACACAGGCCTCCGCCAGTCTCTCTCCCACTCTACAATCTACCACCTACCAGCGCCCAGCGCTGAAGACTACAGCTACAGCTATGGCGCCCAGCGCCGAAAACTACTGCTAGCGCTAACCACCTAGCGCTGAAGACTACTGCAGCGCTCCTCCTGAGTGCTGCGGCCGATATCCTGAAGACTACCTCGTGCCTACTGAACTACCTACCCGTGAAGTGCATGGGAACTTCCTATGTACTACGGGTGTGCCTCCTGAGCCTGCCGAAGGGAGGCAGGGGCTGCMGCTGCAGCTCCTGCTCAACTTGTGAGGAACAGGCTATTTCTGGCCTGTTCCGCATCCCTGTTTACGTGCCTGAGTCTTAGGGGCAGGTCGAAACAATGAGGGCCTGAAAATGGCCCTCCGTTTCAGGCTGAAAACTCTGGGTCTGAAAAGACCCAGAAATAGGCTGAAACGGGGTAGGGCCTGCAGGCCCTCGTTTTTCAGCATCCAGGCTGAAACGAACGGGGCCTGTAAGCCCTAAGTTTTAGGCTTTTAGGCTGAATGTCCGGGACGGGCCCTGCAGGGCCCGTGTGGCTACGCAGTATGCCACAGATGAAGAGGGATCAGAATGGGGTTGCTGGAGGTGTGGTGAAGAAGGGTAGGGATGTGGTTGAGAGGATTGTCCAGTGATCTTGCACTTGTTCAAGAGAAAAGGATGATGGATATATTAGTGGAGACGATGAAGAGGGATCCGGATGGGGTGATCAGGCCTACCGGATAGTGGAGGTGGAGAGGAACAGTATGGGGAAGGTGGTGATAGCGCCGAAGGCGAGATGGAAGGGCATGGGGGATTGGCGGGGGATGAAACGGGATAAGAAGGTGATGCAGTAGGAGGTGGGGATAGGATGAAGAGGGGTTAGGATGTGGTTTGGTGAGGAGGAGGGAGTAGGAGTCATGGGATAATGAGGGATCAGGATGTGGTTGGGGTGGCAGAGGATCAAAAGAAGTGGGATTGGGATCAGGTATGATGTTACTTCTGTTCGAGAGGTCGGGATGGGTTGTGCCAAAGGTTGAGGAGGAATCAGGGGAGTAGGGCCTGGGATGAACAAGGATGATGACGGGATTGGGCAGACCGAGGCCAGTAAGAGTGCGATCTAACCCCAATGAGGAGCATGTGTACCACCTGGATCTCTCCCTCTCTCTATGACAGGCAGCTGGGTGGAGCCACTGGACCAAGGAGATCCGTATGTCATCTAAAAGAGGCCAGCTAGGATGATCAGATCGGTTCTTTAGGTATCACAATGAGTCTTTGCAGCAGTTCCTGCTGCTCCTTTTTTTTTTTTTTCTTTTGAAAATTGCTCCAATCTATTTGTGGGGGGCAGCACGTGCTGGGAACCGGGCCCAGTGTCCCTTATAGTGGAAATACATAAATGATGATCATTTGGGATGATTGAGGATCAATTCGGATGATTTAGGACGGTTCAGAATGGCAGAGTGGATGACTGAGGTCATGAAATAGAGCTCGATGATTACTAACCAGAATGGTTGTTTAGTCAGCACTCGAATACTATCATATCCCTAGTTTCCTGTGTCCATTCCAACCAACCAATCACAACTGAGTCTGTGCTGTGCACCAATCAGGCCTCTTCCCAGTCTCACACCCCAATCTGGCTCGGTTACAGGGCAGCGCTACCCACCCCAGCTCCGACCAATGCCGACCATCGTCACCAGATTGTAGCAATTCGTCAAGTTTGCAGATTGCCTTCCTCCCTCAGCAATCCCAGACCTCTATACAAAGCCGCAAGCTCCTACTCAAGCAGGTTCAGGGCACTGCCCCAGCACCGGCCAGCGTCGTTCTGGCACCAATTCAACCTGACCATTACACAAACAGGCTCAATTAGGAAATTAGCTAAGCTAAAATGCCAACTAGAAATCTAGGATCTGATAATATCAGAATCCTGATAAAAAATGGTCAAAGTACTAGACACTGAAGGAAGCAGAGCGGAGTTTGTGTCCTTTGAGCTCATAGATGCGGATAAATCCTGGGCAAAACTGGGCAAGATAATTGAGCAAAGGATAATAATCGAACTCAAAAACCTCAAAAAGTCAGAACATGCTCACCCAGACTCAGTTGTGAAAGGTCCCTGTTCGACGAACAAGGCCAGAAGAAAACCTGGATATATAGGCCAGACCAGGATATAAAAGAACTGGAAGTGGATCCAGTGGAATGGGGTTGGCTCATCCCCAACAGAGAGGGGGGAGCTAGAAAACTCACAGCGCTCTATGACTACGATGTCAAAGCAGGGTATAGACTAAGAAATCAAACGAAGGATCCCCAACCAATAATTTCAGAGAGATGGAGGAAAAATTTGGGAGAAAATGCAGGATGGATAGGCAAAATCCCATGGAACCTGTACGCCAACATAAGACCGACAAGGATCAGAAGCCTGCAATGGCTTATACTCTATTGGGCGGTTCCAGTGAATCAATGGTTAGGTAAAAGAAGGAAACAAGAGGATTTCCAGCAACAATCGGTCTGGTGCAAGGTGTGCAGTGAGAACGCTGAAGAATCACTGACACATTGCCTGATACACTGCCAGCGGGCCCAAGAACTCTGGGATAGAACCAAATCTTTATGGGCCAACCTAATAGGTCAGGCCTACCCCCCAAGTATAATGTACTTATTGGCAGGAAGGAAAGAAGAAGAAGACCTTGAAGAAGAGGATGCTGTCGTGGCAGACCCATGGAGAAGAGTGACCCTGTGGGTAATCTGGAAAGCGAGGTGCAAAAGTACTTTGGCGGGTCAAAACACCAGTGTGGAAGAGAAATGGTCCAAAACCAAATGCATAATTCAAACAGAGATAAGAGCTCAATGGATCAGGGAACAAAAAGCACAGCAAAGAATTCTGCAACCAGAGAAACGTGAAAGGAGCCAGAGGAATTTCGAAAGAATCTGGCTTAGCAAGAATAGAGTCGCGGAGATAGAGAAGGGCATAATCCATTTTAAAAATTGGGAATAAACCGAAGAACAAAAAAGACTAGTAGTGAGAAGACGGGCCATCAGACGGCAGTAGAACACTTTCAAATACAGGCGCGCTAAGCTAGCAAGACGCAAGAATACCAAACTGCTGCAAACTGCCCCATGCCCATTACTGACCCGAAACACCCTTTTCCCGGACTCTCTCCACCCTAACCTTAACCCCTTACATCCCCTATGCACCTCAATCCCATGGTACCACCAACTCCTGACCCCCCTCCGGAACTTCTGACTCGGTTCCCCCTACAGTCAAACTGTCTATCCCAGGTCTTAAGCAGGAAAGCCAAGGGGTGGCTAGTTCAGAAAGGAGGTGCTGTGACCCATTCGGAAGACAAGTTCACATCAGAACCAACGAGGACCCGGATTTGGCAAGGGAGAAAGTAGGGGCGGTGACCAAACCCTGGAATCAGGTAGAGACCGCTGTGGGTAAGCCGGCAGAGCCAGAGGATTTCTGCAAACAATGGAGAGACAGGCACAAATCTGAAACAAAGGGGAGAAGACAGGTGTTCCAGATACCAAGCGACCAAGGCTCAACACAGGCACTGTGAGCTGACAGGCTAAGTTCCGTCAGGGAACTTCAAGAAATGCTCGGTAAAGTTTTGGAGTTTAAGATTCTGGAAAAAATAAAAACTATAGTCGAGGGTTTAGGGTTTAGGGTTTGGATAGATTTACAGCAAACAGGGTTCAGAATAGCAGAGTTCTCAAGTGGCTCACATGGGGGACATACATTTTAGACAAAATTGGAAGCCTTGGCAGCTTCTAGGACCCTTTCTCGCTGGTCATGC